GTATGCCTATGTTTGTGCTTACAACAGGCAAAATAATTTCTTGTGGTTAATTAGAATGCTCTAATTTATTGCTTGCGTTATTTCATGTTTACATATGGATATTCTTAAAGCTGGAGTCTATCAGCAATCCTAATAAACCAGTGAACCTACTTATTATTTTCTCTAAGTGTTTGTTTATTCTTTATATCTTTATATCATAAGAAGGCTGGATAAGATTTCAGAAGTCATTTAGTTCAACACTTAGCTACAGGCAAATCCATACTCAGATTATCCCAGATGGGGGACTGTTTATTTTCAAGAGTTCCCACACCCTCCCTTAGTAATCTGTTTGTATGTATCAGCAGGAACTTCAGATACCCTCAGCATTATTTAAACATGCCAGAGATTTTCTCTTTTTTAAAAAAATCTGTTTCCAATTCAAGCCTACTTTATTATATCATTAGAGTTAGGACATCACAGTATATGTGGATAAAGATCCCAGACAGGACAGCAGTGCTGGTGGGCATTTAGAGTAGATTAGAAAGCAGAAAGTCCCACACCAAAGGAAACTATCCTCCAAAGACAAGCTAAGGAGGCAACCCAATTAGTCTTGACTTGTCTAATTTTCCTGATTACATATCTCCTTTTACCCCATGTGCAATACCTAGCAAGCTCCCCTAGACATAGACCTAATCAAGAAGACAGAATATTGATGCAATGCAATTTAAATGAAAGCTGTGCTATGCTAAGATATGTGACCAACAATGAGACCTAATAGCAAGGAAGCCCCTAAGGTATAAAAAGTGCCTGTTCCAGATAACAGGCTACTGTGGATTTCCAAGCAAAGGAAATGGAAACAACCACATGTCAGCTAAAAGTTGGGAAATTTCACTGGAAAGAGGGCAACTTGCCTGAGGACTGGGCGTGGTAAACCAAGCAGTAATTCACATTCACTCTCTGCCTGGGTCAGCAGATCTACACTGGGACTTCTTTAGCTAGAAATCTTGGCTATGGATTTCCTGATCTAGTATATTAATCTTTGGAGAGGACGGTAAATCTCTGTATGAACTCTCGGGACACTGAGATATCCGAGCACTTGTGCCTGGGCACCACAAGGAAGGCTTGAGTCAGGCAAGAGTTTTTAAGTTTCACTTTGGTTTTATAAAAAAAATTTCCATAGGCTGAGGTTGAAATGACACTGAGTATTTGGAAAACAAACTAGTTAAGAAGGGCAAGTCAGAAACCCAACCTAGAGCAATCCTGGTTTCTTAGGAGCTACTTCAAGAGATAGAAATGTGTGCAACTTACTTACTTACCCTAACCAGTTTTGCCCTTAGTTTTGCCACTTGCAAGATGAAGATAATAATAGAATGCTAAGTTTGAATAAAGTCTGACATTGAAGAGGCTTTTTAATAATGTTAGGTGGATGAAATAAAATCAGTTTAAAGTTTTGTACAGTGCTTGGCACAGTCTGGTACAAAGTCAATTTTGAGGCACTTCTGTTATTATGGTTACTGTCAGTGTCAACAACATTAAGAAAAGGGTGTCAGACAACGCAATGGATAAAGCTGGAAAGGCCCAGGTGCCAAAGTAACAGGGAAAATGGAGATATATAGTGCATGAAGCACAGTGTAATATTTTGCATCTTGAGAAGAAAAATAAAGAAGCCTACAGTGGTAATAAATTAAGGGGGATATTAGGAGTATAGCAAAATTATCATAGTTGTTGCTTTTTATTTATGTTTGTTGTGTGGTGATGGGGTGATTACCAGGTTGGGTTTTTTTATTTGAATGCTTTATACGCTGCTGGATCTACTTATTGAATATGAACAGATACACAGAGAGGCTATTCAGCTGTGTTATGTGATGGGAATCTCATTGGCTATGCTACCAATTTTTACACAGTTAATTGATGATGAAAATTCACTGAAGAGGAGGGGGGAAATGGTGTATCCATCAGAGGATTAACCTTATTGAGAGTATGGCTATACTTTCCTCAGGAGAGGGGTACGGCATTAGGTAGTTTCTTTCACAATATCTTGAGAAAGACTTATTGACAGGGTGTATCAGAGGAGTGTGATTGATGGGGCCCAGAAAAGATTCAAGTATTTCATAATACTGGATGTTCAAGGTTTTGCTTTTTTAATCTTGCATTTATCAAAGACCCTTTCTTATTGCAAAGTATCTTGAATGCTAAATCCAAGGCACTTCAGAAACACTCTTCTTCCCAATGCTCATATGCTGGTCCCTCTCATCCACCAGTCACAGAGGGCAAGTCATCTCTTCAGGGAAGACTTCTGACTGAAATTATTTCCCAAGAGCCACTCCCTCTAACATTATCCGGCCTCACTGACTGCACAGCAGTATAGCCTGAAGGTTAAGCACACAAGGTAGAGCCAGACTCTCTTGAGTTCAAACTCCAGCTTAGCCCCTTTAACATGTGATAGTGAATATGCTAATTAATATCTTAGTTTCTTCATCTGTGAAACAGAAACAGTAACAACTTTTTCTCCTAGCATTGTCATGAGGATTCATACAAGTTAACTTTATCAAATCCAATATGTAGTAATGCTCATAGTGTGTGTGCGCGTGCATGTGTAAACCATCTGAGCTGATAACAGGTGGATTTTCAGAGGCTGTAAATTACATGGGAGGAGATGACTCATCTTTTTTGCTCAGAGCAGCTGGTGGATTTGAACCTGCTCACTTGCCTTTAGATTGGCAATGAAACTCCTTAACCAGTAGGCCACCTGAGCTCCCTCACCAATATTAGCTACTGTTAATTCAGTCATCTTCATGCTCTGAGATCACTTTATTTGTTATTGTCTACCTTGTCAGTATAAGCACCATGAAAGCAGGGACTTTATTGTTCAGTGCTGGGTTTATACCCTAAAACAGAGTCCAGACACACACAGTGGGAACTCAGGAGATGGTTGTCAAATGAATGGACAGATGTTCCACTCGTATTTAGGGACTTAGCTAGTCCAATTTCAGGTCATGTGGTGTGTGTGTGTGTGTGTGTGTGAAGCTTCAGTGAGATCCACATATTGCAAAAGCAAGCAAACAAACCTATCATTTGCATTCTTGTCTACGGTGAAATTCTTCCTCTATATTAATTTTCTACCTGCGTATCCTTCATTCCAAAATTGTGAGGCTTTACAGTCTCTAGTATATAATAAGAAAATTCTCAGTAAGAAATTAAATAGGTAATGATAATGAATTGTGCAAAATACTGCTTTTTCAAACTACAGCTCACGTCTTTGGTTCTCCTTTCCCTATGAAATTTGCTGGCTAATAACCAGTAAAACACAAGTAAATGGAAGAACGAATACTGAAGACAGTCTGCTTATAGGATGCCAAACTTGCTAATTTGTAAGACTGTTGATATAGTTAACAACTAGAGACCTGGATGGCATGATTATGATGATAATGCACAATGTGTCAGGCTGCTAACTGAAAGACTGGATGTTCAAATCCATGCCCCACCTCCAAGGAGATGAGCAGTCTCCTCCTGTAAAGGTCTAAAGCCTTGGAAACTTGATGGAGGGTGGTGACGAGTCGGAATCGATGTAATGGCAGTGAGTGGTTAAGTGGGGATACAGTTAATTATCAATAAATATACAGTATTTGGGACACTAGATAGTAAAAACTTGTCCTAAGGACAAGAGTCTATTTTGTTTCCTCCAACACACCTCTTTTTTTTTATTTTTCCAACACACCTTTTTGTGACAAGACTGTAGGGAAAGCTACTTCAGGGCAGCTTCCCGGTGCCTCTCCTGAGAGATGTTCCTGCCAAAGATTAAGGGTACATTACATGTGCCTTTCAGGCTGTAGGACAGCTCAGTAAAGGGTGTGCTTGAAAAAAAGCCCACTTCCCAACTCCTTTATTCCTTTTTCTTAAGTATTAATATCAAAGAAAAGTGTCTGGTTCTGTCTCTGGTGGACTCATGGGTAAGCAGTTGCACTGCCAACCCAAAGGTATGGGATTTGAATCTACTAGCTGCTGTGCAGGAGAAAGATGGGCAATCTCCCCGTGCTATTTACAGCCTCTGAAAACCCACGGTAAGGCCAGCTATCAGTCTGTTCTGACTCCACCTCAATGAGTTGTTGAGTCTTCTGATAGCTTTTATGAGACCAGATTATAATGACTGTTCAATTCCTGACAAGACACTCACTCTACAGAACTACAGTGTTAGAAGTTCTGGAACTTAACATTGAGAAAGGTCATGCTGGCCACTTCTACAGCACATTATATTTCTGTTTTCCCTCTCACATACAATAAATACTGTTTGAGAGATTAGCATGTGTGTTGTAAAGTTGATAAGATTCTGGTTGCCAAAGGCATTTCACAGGTCTTAATTTATGTTGCTATAGTAACAAAATGTTAGCATTTCTCGAGATTAGAAGGCTTTTATATCCTTAACCCTAAATGATGATACTGTAGATTATGATGACAGCCTTGGTCTTTGCTGTTTGTTATCTTTCAACTCTAGTGAGTTTTCTATGTATGCTAGGATGAAATGGAACAGTTGTAATTAAAAAAAATTTAATTTTCTGACATCAAACTTGATTTCTCCTATCCATGTGTATGAATTTCAGTAGCCAAAATGTTATTAAAATGGGCAGTCCTTCCCTAAAGAGAATCAGAATAAATAAAAACGGAAGTGAGAGAAGCTGAATTTTTACAAGTCACAGTTCTAGAGTAATTATCTTGGAGCTTGATAAGAATTTAATGCCTCTTCTTCAGCTGAGTGAATTTCCAGCATTCGCTAAAGCACCTGCAGTCTTGATAAGTAGTGTTTTAAGAAAGACACTATGCCAGGGCATTTAGTGATAGGAGAGGGAAAAGTGTAATAATAAAGTCCTGAGCACGAATAATAAAGACAGAAAGACATTAAGAACCCTGTGGGCTGTTTAAGATTGCATGTGTTAATTATTTAGACTCAATAAAATTAGGAAACTCAGTTCAGTAAATTTCGCAGGATTGACTCAAGATATTAATGCTCCTGGGGCCCAGCTTACCTTATATCCTGATGATTTGATGTGCACACCGCGTTTGGTCAGAGTAGATTTCATTCGGATGAAAAAGGAACGCTCAAGGGTGTTGTCAGTGGTGAGCAGACTGGGGCTCGTTGACTCCACTGAGGAATACAAAAGAAACATACACATGATTTTAGATCTCTTCACAGCCCCTCACAGCCACTGCTCAGGTGCAATCCTTGAGTTCATTAAAAGTAAATGACGGATGGCTGGTAAAAAGCGTAGTAATCAATTTACTTCATTTAGAAAATATTTACTTTGCAGAAAATAAAAAGACAATGTAATGGAGCCAAAGAAACTCAGTTTTAGTCTCTGGAAGAGTTTTTCAGGCTTTTTCATGTCCAGCAGCTCCTACTATTAAGTGGGACCTAACAGTAAGTTACTACAGCACAACTTGAAGCTTGACCCATGAACATGGTGAAAATTGCTATCTAAAAGGATCACCCGGAGATATATAGGATCAACCAAGATACTGGCAGAGATGCTTCTGAGGAAGCATCTGCTCTTTGTTCTTCCTGAGAATTCCTTATTTTTTTTGCACTATTCACCTGCGGGGAATTTAAGAAACACAAAACCACTTTTGTTGGATAAACTATCCAGACCAGTTTCTCTCTTTGCTCTTCTAAGTTAGCTTTACTCATTGTGGGGAGTAAGAAGTGTGAGCTTTCTTCCAGCAGCCTAAATACAGAGGAATGGAGATGGGATGCACAGGCAGAAGCAAAAACGAATCCTCCCAGCACCAACTTTTCATTCTCGTCACTAATGGCAGCTTTCCTTCTCCCAGCTGAACAGGAAATAGTCTCTTTCTTCTCTGCTTTTTATATGAGAAAAAGAACATTTCCTCTTTCAAGCAAGATACTCTTTTATATATTTTCAGACTAAGTAAAAAAATGATTTATAGAATTAAAAAATGATAGGTCAATCTTTGGGACCTACTATGGCCATATAAACAGTGAAGATGCAATGCACACTGATTTTATGGTAAAAAACCCAATACCAAATTTTTTGGTGTGTTTTATAAATTTTTAAATAAATTTAATTTTCCTGCAAAGAAATTAACTCTATGGGGTATTTAAGGCTAATCAATCTTCTGGTTTTAGTTTTCTAAAATAGCACTTTAAAGCTTTTCTTATACCAAAAGAAAAAGCAAGACTAAACCCAAAAACAATTTCTTTTAAAAAAACAGTGACATGAGTTTCCTCTGGAAAGAGTAAAGAAAGGCATGCAATAAAGAAATTGAAGACATTATGTATAATTATGTGTGTATATGTATGTATATATAGATACATATGTATGAAAATAGTTACAAACAGACAAAACAAGCTTTTGCATTTAACTAAAGCAACACACTCCATATATTTTTAAGAGGAATACATCTCTATTCTTCACATCAAATTTGAAGTTCAGATGAAAGAGGGATGAGAGCTAATGTATTTGAAAGCTTACTTACTATTTGTGGGTCAGGGTTTTTCTTCTGTCATTCTTTCTTAACATGGTCTATTTTCCTATATATCTGGTATTTCTATTCTGGGGTGATGGGATCACTGATGACTGTCCCTTTCTTATGTCTCCCTCTTATGGTTTTCTTTTTTTTTTTTGTTTTAGAGAGCATGGATCTGATGTCATTTTAAATGTACAGCTTTTTATCACTCGAGGGAAAAGTAGAGCCATGTTATATTTAGTACTTTCATTTCTTCTGATTAAATATGAATTACTATGAAATTTTTCTCATCATCTAACACGCCATAATACGCCAACAGCTTTTTAATACACTATATAAGCACAAACTTCTGCTCTAAGAGTTTAATTTGCCCCTCTAATCCAATCACATCAACCTTATTTCTCTTATCAGAGATTCCCATTTTGAATTAAATGAGCTCATTAGTTTTAATCAAAAGCAGAGAGATCAAAACTTAAACGTAAATGCTTTAGATCAGAACTGTCAGTCAGCCGTGCAGTTCTATTTTACTAAAACACAAGATCAGAGACCCTTAGAACGAATTTTTTCTCGTAAGGGATGCCGAGAGCTTGAAGATGCTATATCCTTCTTTTTTTTTCCTCTCCCCTCTCTCCCAAGGACAGATTATACATTTAAGGTTAGACTTAATTTATAGCAGTTTTTTTTCATCCTAGTGGAAATGGAAAAGTATGCCAATCTACTGTTGTCCCTTTCACATTTATTGGCAGTGGTCCTCAGAGACTTGAACTAACATGAAGCCATCAGAATCCACACCACAAACTCAGCCTTAGAAATTCAGCTCTGTTCAGCAAGATCGTGTTTGCAATAGCTGAGGGGGGGAGGTGGTGGGGGAAGAAATTTCCTGAGCAAGTAAAATGTTTTAGGGCTGGGTTCCTGAGTACCCTGGTCTAGTATTGGAGGAACCACCTAGAAGGAAGAAGTGCGAGTTATTCAAGCATCATTAGAAATGACTATTATTTTGGGGCTGTACAGTAAAACACTTAGAGTTGCACGTTAGAGACCACAGCATGGTGCTTCCTGCTGAGTGAAGAAATGCCAGACACTGTCTTTGCATGTGCTGCAGAGGCTGAGTACTAGGATCCTTCCTGACCAAGCCAGTGAGTACAGTACCTCCCCATGCACTAAAACACTAAATACTTAAACATATGGGGGCAACAGTAATTAAATCTGGGGCAACTGGTGTGAGAGCAATGCTAGGGCTGGGCTAATTGAAGCTGAGATGTAAGGTCTAAACTGGTCTTTAAGTTTCGTTTCAAGAGCGTTGAAGGTAGAAAGAAAGAAAGGGGGAAAGCTAGAGAGGAAGTACTTGATTTCTGGTGAATGTTTTTGCTTAAATTTCCTAGTTTTGAGGACAGGGACAGATGCAGCATGCCACACTGTCCCTTTTCAAGGGACATGTAACGAACTTATCTACAGTACACGCACCATGACCATAGTTCCTGGTAAATGCACTGTGTTCATCCCAACTCTGACATTTGTAACTTTCATGTTAGAAGATGTATTATCTGCATATGACATAGGAGAACAGCAGCAGCTTTAGAAGATAGGGGTTTTTTTAACTGTCACAGGTAACAAGTACAATTTTGATGAAGGTTTTTAGTGGGTGAAAAGCCAAGGCACCAAGGGCCTTCATTATGTGCACTGTGACTGTGACGCTGGAGACAAGGTTGTGAGTGTGCACATGTGTGTGCAGAGTGTGACTATAGTAAGAAAAGAACAGCTAGCCCAAGCTTTCTAGGTGTAAAATGTTTTCCTGTCAACTTTTAGGGGAGACCATGATCCGATGCATGTACTGGTAAGAAATTTGGGATCCAGAGAACTTCTCCTACCTAAGACACAAGAAGCATTTACGTGCAAAGCTGGATTAAGTGGTCAAAGTCAAGCTGACCTATAAATCAGAAGCAAAGTGCTGAACACCAACATAATAAAGAAGCCCCATGCAACTAAGAGCTAAATAAAAGCTATATACTTCCCTTTGCCAAATCAGAGAGGCCTCAAATTTTCATAAATCTAAATCATGTTATCTCTTGAAATGGAGTTTTTGCATGTTTTATACAATTTACAGAACAATTTACAGCAGAAGTTGTGATTTTTATGTTGGCAAATGCCACCATAATATGAAATCATATCTGTGTTACTTCACATCTGGTCATGAGTCTTAACTGGTATTGGAGTTGCTGCTCTCCTTTTTACTTATGTAAAAACAAGAAGTGTGAGAGGAGAACGTAGCTGGGAATATTCCAGAGCCCATTAGGCTAAACTTGGGGCCAGGTTAGTTCTGAATGTTTTCAGTATTCTTTGCAGTGTTTCTGCAAGGATATTAGGCCACAGCTTAAAGATGGTCTTTCTTTTGAGAACACTCATGTTTTCAGTGCAATTCTGCTATTAGAATTCTCTAACTGCCACCAAATTCTGATGTGCAAGAGAGAAGTAGAAAAGGTTAAACAAGCTTTTCTCTCTCAATCATAAACAAAATATTTATCCTTTCAAAGGTAAGGTTGAATTGGCAGAAGTTGTTCAGATATGAATTTAAAAATAGTCTTTCCCTATTTCACAACTTTTACCCACCTCTCCTTTTTAAGATGTGCTGTGGACACAAGACAATATAAAGCACAAATACCAAAAATAAATTCACAGGACAAGGGAGGAGAGGTTGGTTCATTATGGCAATTGTTTTGGTAAAAAGCCAAATTGTTTCAGTGGCCTATCTTACTACCGTTGTTAGGTACTGATGGTTTCTTAGTACTTAAATATGGAAATGTGCACACTAAAATACAGCAAGCTGTTTCTGTTCTTGTACAAGTAAGCTAAGTACTGTCATACGATTTTCTTTGGTTAATGAACTGTGATGTCAAAAGCCATTTCCAGGCATGTTTTAAGGGCCAGTCCTGAAGGCCCACTTTTTCTTTCTCTTTGACACCAACATTTCAGATGGAGGCTTTGCCATCAACCTGGGTCTTTGAATAGAGACAATATGAGGAAGAATTTTTAGCTAACACACAGAATAACTCTTGTAGTTTGCATGTATCCAAGGTCTTACTGATCTTTATTATTATCATTATACATAGTGAGTCAGTATGTGGTCCTAAGTCTTCTAGGAAGTTAGCAGCAGATCAGAATAAGATACATGTTTGAATCCAGAGTCAAGATGTCAAAACACAGTTCTTGGAGCTATGTAAGCACATGTTCTGTCCTATGCTTGACATTTGAGGGCAGCAAGATCAGAGAGAGGTTCAATTCTGATGTCTTGTAGCATTTAGCAAGGAGCTCTGGGGACCTAGTCCACAGAGAGTTGTGCTGCTAGCCAAGAAGTGGAGCAACTCTGGTTATTTCAAATCCCCACTGACTCCACAAAAGAAAAATTAGCAGTCTCCTGTCGTGCAACTTACAACCCCTGAACGCCACTGAAGGGTTAGCTATGAGTTGGTTCCAACTTGGTGGCAATGGCAGAAAAGACAACATCTAGCATGGCTCCCTGTGTCCAAAGAAAGCTTTTACACACTCTCTCCCTCTTTTTTGAATAATGAATGATTTGGAACAAGTTTTAATGTATTAAAATCTTCCTGACTTAGCCTGCTGATAGCAGGCCTTCCAGCATGGCAAAGAGATTCTTTCTCGCTG